TTGAAATCTCATCTAGTATCAATAACTTACATCTGATTTCTTTTATTTTTCGCTTCCATTTTGCCTTCCAAGCTGGCTCTTATTGTCTGTGGTTTGATCTTTTCATTGTCTTAACACCAAACCTCCCAGTAGCTGCTAAAACTGTTGCGTGTATGACATTATGTATTTCTGTGACGTTTCCCAGTGATTTGTCCATTAACACTGTTTGAAGTGCAGCGTTGTGTGTGTGTGTGTGTGTGTATATATATATATATATATATATATATATATAATGAAATGGACAAAGTCCGACAATTATTTTAAGACATGTTTACGTTTATACATTCTTTTTTATAGATACAAATGTAGGTTCGATTCCTGTCGGAGAACGCATATATATATATATATATATATATAGTGTGTGTTCCAATCACTTGGACCGATTTTAAATGCGAATTAAGTTTAAGCGCTTAATGATTTATTTTTTCTTTCAGATTTAACAACTTAAGTATTTGGCAATTTCAACCATGGAAAGATTAACAATCAAACAACATGTTAAAGTTTCAAGAGTGCAATTGGAAAAATTGTCCGTAAATTCAAACAGATTGGGTCGGTGGCAGGTGTGAAAATACCGTTGTGTGATCATTTTGCTGCAGTGCACGAGAATGTGGCCGACAATCCAGACCCCCTCTATTCGTCATCGTGCACTGGAATTGAACCTCTTCCCAACAACGTTTCATTGCTTCCATTTGCATTCTCGGTTGGTCGATTATGTTGGCCAAAGATATCTCGAAGTGCAATTCTATTTGAACATACATTTTTGTAATAGTTTTCGATAACGTTAACACTTTGTTTGATTGTTAATCTTTCCACGGTTAAAATCGCCAAAGACTTAACTTGTTAAATCTGAAAGAAAAAAAATCATTAGACGCTTAAACTTCATTTTAAAATCGGTCCAAGTTATTGGAACACTCTGTATATTTGCACAATGCGTTTAGTGGACTTTGTCATGAATTTTTGGGAGTTGCTCTCTGTCTGACATCTGTGTGCGTGTCACATTGCTGAATACTTGAATAATGTGATTTTTCGCTTCCATGATTTCACCTCTGTTGTTTTCAAGTAATTCCACCCTAATATCGTTTGACTTTTCTTCAGTGACACACTATGGATTCTTAGAATTTATTTCCTGGGAAATTATTATTTCGTATCTCATTTATTTTAGTGTTTATCTCATCTTCTTCCCCAAGGATTCAAGAGGCAAGCCAGAAACGGAAAATGGGGATAGATCGGCTACACACTCTGTAAGCCTCTTCTAGTGTCCCCAGGCAGGCCCTTGACTGGAATCCACAAGGGAGGCGAAAAGTGGATCGACCAAAACAGGCTTGGTGCAGAAGTGTTGACGCAGAGGTAAAGGAAGCCGGCACGACATGGGCCAAGCTGAAGAGAATCCCCTAGATCCGTATCAGTTGGAAAGTTGTTGTTGCTCAAGGAATCAAGAGGCATAAAGAAAAGAAGACAATGAATAAATTATGTATTATTTACCAACCGATATCTCAGAAACATTCTCAGTATCAGGCGGCCGGAAGTCGCCTGCAGCGAACAGGTGTGGGTCACGACTAGACAATCCCCAATCAAGGAACAGAAAATGGGGATAGCTCAGCCACACCCTCCGCAAGCCTGCTTCTAGTGTCACGGTTTCATTTGTGTTCTATTTTCCAGAAATACTTATTCTCCCTGATATAACCAGTTATTTTTTTGGTCACATGTTTCTATTTATAATGGTTGAAATTTCTTATCTGTTAAGTCTTCCATTATTTTGGCATCCACCATAATGGATATTTTTCTTTATAGCTTCTCATCCTGCTGAAGCCAAAAATATATCAGGAATTTCATTCTCCCCTTCGGAGGTGATATGTCCCGGAAAGGGATATATTTGAACGAAGTAGTTAAGTGGTTTTGGCTACTATAACCAAGTAGAATATGGTAGTAATAATCGACTGGTACGCGTCGTCGTCGCAGGTAAGAAGAGTAGATCAATGACGTAGTCCAATGGGCGTCGTTATAGACTTAGCTCTCAGACTAAGGCTCTTCTCACTCTCCTACACGTCCATCGGTGTTTATGACGGACACCAGCCAATCATATTCCAGTGAGGGGGGGAACACAGGTGTATGTATATTTCATTATATCAGGAGGCATTCTTGTCTTTCAGTTTCTTAACTCGAGCCAACCCTGTGAAACATCTAATTCAAGTTTCTACATGCTACAGTTCATACAACGCAGTTAGAAAACCTATCAGCGACGCCATATTGTTATGAACTAGAGTAATCTCTGGAATAGACGTTGGCAGCCCAACGGAGGGTAGCTCGACTGGCATTCACCGAGACTTTCTGCTTTTATAGCAGTATCTCATTTACATGAAATATTACAGGTATTCTTCTATTTTTCTAAACTAGACTAGACGCCATCTTTAAATTCTAAATGCCGAAGTAATTTTTCCCCTTCTGTAAAACAGTATCTGTCTATATTTCTGAGATGATGTATTATGTACATTATTTACATTATTCGGACTATTGTCCTCATCTTTGTCACCATATTTATTACAACGTTTCGGCCCTTCAGTATCTGTCTATATTTCTGAGATGAGGTATTATGTACACTATTTACATTATTCGGACTATTGTCCTCATCTTTGTGACCATATTTATTACAACGTTTCGGCCTTTCAGTATCTGTCTATATTTCTGAGATGATGTATTATGTACATTATTTACATTATTCGCACTATTGTCCTCATCTTTGTCACCATATTTATTACAACGTTTCGGCCTTTCAGTATCTGTCTATATTTCTGAGATGAGGTATTATGTACATTATTTACATTATTCGGACTATTGTCCTCATCTTTGTCACCATATTTATTACAACGTTTCGGCCTTTCAGTATCTGTCTATATTTCTGAGATGAGGTATTATGTACACTATTTACATTATTCGCACTATTGTCCTCATCTTTGTCACCATATTTATTACAACGTTTCGGCCTTTCAGTATCTGTCTATATTTCTGAGATGAGGTATTATGTACATTATTTACATTATTCGGACTATTGTCCTCATCTTTGTCACCATATTTATTACAACGTTTCGGCCTTTCAGTATCTGTCTATATTTCTGAGATGAGGTATTATGTACACTATTTACATTATTCGGACTATTGTCCTCATCTTTGTCACCATATTTATTACAACGTTTCGGCCCTTCAGTATCTGTCTATATTTCTGAGATGAGGTATTATGTACATTATTTACATTATTCTGACTATTGTCCTCATCTTTGTCACAATATTCATTACAACGTTTCGGCCTTTCAGTATCTGTCTATATTTCTGAGATGAGGTATTATGTACACTATTTACATTATTCGGACTATTGTCCTCATCTTTGTCACCATATTTATTACAACGTTTCGGCCTTTCAGTATCTGTCTATATTTCTGAAATGAGGTATTATGTACACTATTTACATTATTCGGACTATTGTCCCTCATCTTTGTCACCATATTTATTACAACGTTTCGGCCTTTCAGTATCTGTCTATATTTCTGAAATGAGGTATTATGTACACTATTTACATTATTCGGACTATTGTCCTCATCTTTGTGACCATATTTATTACAACGTTTCGGCCTTTCAGTATCTGTCTATATTTCTGAGATGAGGTATTATGTACATTATTTACATTATTCGGACTATTGTCCTCATCTTTGTCACCATATTTATTACAACGTTTTGGCCGTTGTACGCTCCGGCCTTCTTTAGGTGATTTGAATGTCGAACTGAACCCTTTATTTCACTTACTGCGGTAGACTGCTCTAGTTCCACGTGCCATGTTTAATGGATGGAGGTAAGGCTTCAAGAACACCAGAAAGCTGTAACAGGAATGGAAATGGAAAAATCAGGTATGGCTGACCACATATGGTGAATGAAGGGACATCACCGCCTTCTGTGGGATCAGGTTGAGAGCATAGACAAAGAACACCATTGGAAAATTCGTAAACTTAAGGAATCAGCATATATACTAGGCCACAGAAATCTCCTGAGCCGACCAGGCATAGAAATGAATACAATATGGGAACCAGTAATAAAGAGTGCCAGAGAAAAGCAATAATAACAACAAAAATTGCAATATGAGCTCTGGTTAAAACATGAAATGATAACAGCAAAAATTGCAATATGAGCACTGGTAAAAAATGATTTCTGAAGACATTGGTTTATAATACCCAGAAATTCATACACAGATGTCCTCAAGGACACATGACACAGTGGATAAAGGCGTTAGTTAGATCCAGTGACAGAACCCAAAGAGTGTGAGTTCAATACCCTGTTAAGGCAGTGGAGAACTTGAAGAGGTGAATTAACAGGAGATAACTGATAAATGACATCCATTAACCATGACACGTGGAACTAGAACCGTCTACCTCAATGAGTGAAATAAAGGGTTCAGTTCGACATTCCAACTACCCGAAGAAGGCCGGGGCGTACAACGGCCGAAACGTTGTAATAAATATGGCGACGATAGATGAGAACAGTGGGTCGAATAATGTAAATAATGTCTGTAAAACAGCTACGAAAAAAAAAGGGTTAACATATGGTCTGAATCATCAAATCACCATTCACCTTTCAAGCAGAAAGAGACACATTATTCTCGCTATTTATTTTTATTTAGGCTACGGTTATCCACTTTTGATGGGCTACCAATTGTAAACGATACGCATCATGCAGTCTGTGGAGTTACATGAATTGATATGATACCTGGATAAAAATGCTTGTCTCGTAAATGAGAAACTAGGGGAGAGTGTGGTAAAGTAAAATTGAAAATTATGATTTATGTCGTCCTATGAGGAGAGAGAGGCAAGACGTACATATATTTATGCGATGACAAAATGACATAGAACCGAAGAGGCGAAGATCAGCATTCGAGTAATTTGAGTAAACCCGGCTACGGGCGAAGCGGGTCAAAATGGTCATGATGTAATAGTAAAATAGAAAGAGGAAAATAGATAGATAGATAGATAGATAGATAGATATGAAGAGACTAGATAGATAGATAGATAGATAGATAGATAGAAAGATAGATATAGATAGAGAGATATGAAGAGACTAGATAGATATAGAGAGAAGATAGATATATAGATAGATAGATAGACTGGGATAGATAGATAGATAGATGAAAAGATAGATAAATAGAATAGAAAGATAGAGAGAGGATAGATAGATAGATAGATAGATAGATACATGAAGGGACTGAGAGAGATAGATAGATAGATAGATAGATAGATAGATAAATAGAGAGATAGATAGATAGATAGATAGATAGATAGAATAGATAGATAGAAAAGAGATAGATAGATGAATAGATAGATAGATAGATAGATAGATAGATAGATATAAAAGATAGATAGATAGATAGATAGAGGATAGATAGATAGATAGATGAAGAGACTGGGATGATAGATAGATGAATGATAAATAGATAGATAGATAGATAGATATGAAGAGACTGGGATAGATAGATAGATATGAAAAGACTGCGATAGATAGATAGATAGATAGATAGATAGATAGATAGATAGATAGATAGATATGAAAAGACTGCGATAGATAGATAGATAGATAGATAGATAGATAGATAGATAGATATGTATGAAAATGACTGCGATAGATAGATAGATAGATAGATAGATAGATAGATAGATAGATAGATATGAAGAGACTGGGATAGATAGATAGATAGATAGATAGATAGATAGATAGATAGATATGAAGAGACTGGGATAGATAGATAGATAGATAGAGAGAGAGAGAGAGAGAGAGAGAGAGAGAGAGAGAGAGAAAGAGAGACTTAGGGATAAAGCGGCGTAGAAAGATCTGTCCTTGATTACAAACTTGTGTCCGCTAACCTTTGCTATCTGCTGTCTGGCCATTGACCAACGAACATCGATCACTTTTCTCTTTATTATACCCGGCCTATAATCACGACGGTTTATCATACATCAAATTGTAACAGCAATCGATACGATGGCCCTCTACCCGGCCACTACCTACGACATTCCAGCTCTTTAAAACACTACCCGGATATCACCTGGATAATGTGTAAATGACTCGTAATCTCCTTATGAATGCTGTCATCGAATACAAAATATTTTATTTAACATATCTGTAGATAGATAGATAGATAGATAGATATGAAGAGACTGAGATAGATAGGTAGATAGATAGATATGAAGTGACAGATTTAGATAGAAAGAGACTGAGATAGATAGATAGATAGATAGATAGATAGATAGATAGATATGAAAGAGACTTGTTTTATTTTTTTCGTTTATAAAAATCAGTTGCCGACAATTTATTAATATTATTAATTTTTTTTTTTTTCTTTGATTTCTGGCGTTTACACATTTCTTTCCGGGTCCCGCCAAGGGACCTAAGTTTAGAAATGGCGTCATGACACTTTCCACTGACAAAAAAAAAAAAATTAAATTACATAGATAAAGCCCTTCGTAAGGTGTGGGTTGTACTTGTCAGAAAAATTTTTTGTATCTCCTTGAGGCATGGACTTCCAGGAATCCCTTCAATTAGTCTATGAAGAGACTGGGATAGATAGATAGATAGATAGATAGATAGATAAATAGATAGATAGATAGATATGAAAGAGACTTTTCCAACCAGTCCTAGGGCTCCAACTACAACAGGGATTGTTGATGTTCCCATATGCCACATTTTTGAGATTTCTATTTCAAGGTCCTTGTATTTTGACAACTTTTTGAATATCTTTAAAGATACATCGCAGTCAGCAGGGACTGCCATGTCAATAAGGAGGCAACGTTTTTGTTTGTGGTCTTTAATAACAATATCTGGGCGGTTGGCCTTGATTGTTCTGTCAGTGTGTATTGTGTAGTCCCATAGAATTGTAACAGATCCTATCTCCGTAACCGGGTCTGGGTGGTGTTCATACCAGTTTCTTTCAGTTTCCTTCCCGTAGAAGTTGCAGATTTTCCAGTGCAGATATTGGCCCACTCTGTCATGCCGGGTTTAAGATTCAGTGGGTGCCAATATCGTGCAACCTGATACAAGATGATCAATCGTTTCTGGATATTTATCACAGAATCTGCATTTTGGGCTGACACAATATTTTAGTATATGTGCTTGATAATTCCTAGTTAGCAAGCATTGGTCCTGCGCAGCAAGGATAAAACCTTCAGTTTCCGCTTTCAACCCTGCACTACGTAGCCACTGATGGGTACGGGTTTTGTCTACGTCAGCTTGTTTGGTACGGGCAGAGTATTGGCCATGAAGCGGTTTATCTTGCCATCGCTTCTGTATTTGGTCGGTTGTATTCGTCTTTGCTGTCTTTTTTAGGTATTTTGCAGTTTCAGCCTGTGTATTGTGCTGTAGTTGCATCTCTACGCCCATTTGAAACTCCATTTTGAATTTGTTGGCTTCTTTCATTACGGAGTAAAGACGCTTACTACTTTTCATGTTCCTTGACGCATACCATCATCCAGTCTTCTGTAGTTTCCAAATATCTTTGGAGGCCAATTGTTGTAGTTTTGTAGGACAGTTCTAGTTGAACTAATCCTCTGCCTCCTTCGGATCTGGGCACATACAGACGATCAACATCAGCTTTGGGATGATGCATGCGATAGCAAGTGAGATGCTTTCTCGTTTTGGCGTCCATTCGCTTAATTTCAGCTATGGTCCAGTTAAGGACATTAAAGTTGTCTTGCACCACAGGAACAGCCAATGTGTTTATGGCCGATATTCTGTTTTTTGAGTTTATCTCAGTATTTAGTAACAGACGTACACGCCTGTAGTACTCTTTTTTATATTTTTTCTTTCATTTGGGGGTGTTGTATACCATCTCCTTCGCTAATTCCTAGGTACTTATAAGCTTCACCATGCTCCAGTTCCCTAATCTTTGTAACAAAATCTAAATCTATTAAGCGTGTTTCTGTAATTCTACCTTTCTTAAAAGTTACTTTTGCACATTTATCTAATCCGAAGTCCATAACTATGTCGTCACTGAAGTATTTTACAATATTGAGTAGGCCTTTCAACTCATTGTCGTCTTTGGCATAGAGTTTGAGATCATCCATGTAGAGTAGGTGATTGAATATTTTCTTATTTATTTTGTAACCATAGCTACTGTTGTTCAGTTCATGTGTAAGAGGGATTAAGGATAAACAAAACAGAAGGGGTGACAGAGAATCTCCTTGAAAGATTCCACGTCGGATATTCAGACGGTTGGATATGGCAGCTCCCCCGGTATGACTAAGGTATAGTTTGGTGTTCCACATTCCCATGCTGTGCTTAAGGAAATTTAATACCACAGGGGAGACTTTGTACATTTCCAAAGTCTTAAGGATCCAAGAATGTGGAACACTATCAAAGGCTTTACGATAATCAATCCACGCTGCACTTAGATTCCTGCGTCGTCTCCTGCAATTTTCCAGGATCATTTTATTTATCAGAAGTTGATCTTTGCAGCCATATGAACCTCTTCTGCATCCCTTCTGTTCCAGTGGGAGAATGCTGTTTGTTTCGAAAAAGGAATAAGTACGGTTCGTCAGTACAGACGTGATCAACTTATACGTTGTGGAGAGACATGTTATCGGTCTATAATTTTTCGGGTCGTCTGTTTCAGTTGTTTTTTGGTACGAGGTGTAATACCTTCAGTAATCCATTCGGGATTTTATTGGGATTATTTACAAGCGTTGATAATGTTTTGCAAGAATTTCATGGGTAGATGAGAGATGATACAGCCAGAAATTGGGCAATTTGTCATTTCCTGAGGATTTCCATTTTTGGGATTTCGTTAGAGCTTGCCTAACATCATCTGTGGATATATTTTCCCATTCTTGCAGAGGTGCACAGCAGTCGTTCTTCTTCACGTCGTATCCATTCTGCATTTGGGTTATATTCCTTTGGGCTGCTCCAAATATTTTCCCAAAATGTCTGTACATTATCAATCGATGGTGGCCTTTCGACATGTATAGGTGTTTTTCCAATTTCCCTGTAAACTTTCTTAAGATCCGTTCGGAATATTTTATTTTGGCGATAGAACCTACAACGTTTTTCGTATCGTCTTGTTCTCTGTGCCTTTAGCTGAAGTTTCTGCTTCAGCATTTCCTTGATTGATGGAATATCAATTTGGGATTTAATGTTATATTTCCGCTTGATCTTTTTGCATTTACGTGTGGAAATATTAGGGTTTCTGGTGAGCTCATATAATATAGAAAGGTCACATCTGATTTGTTTTATTTCTCGAATCAGTTTGGTTTTCCAAGCTGGTTCTCTGTGTCTGTTAATTTTATTTATTGTCTTGACCCCAAGCTTCCGAGTCGCTGCTAAAGCTGTTGCGTATATGACGTTGTTAACTTCTGTGATGTTTCCCGGTTGTTTATCTGTTAACAGTGTTTCCAGAGCAGCATTGTATATTTTCACGATGTGCGTGTTGGAATTCGTCATATGGATTTTCGGGAGCTGGTCTCTGACAATTGTATGAAAGTTACTCTGCTGAGTTCTTGGGTGACGTCATTTTTCGCTTCGGTGATTTCAGTTTCGTGGTTTTCAAGGAATTCTAACTTAATGTACCTGGAGTCCTCTTCAGTGACAGTTGGAGAACTGCAGGTTGTGTCTAAGGAAGAGTCTTGGGTTTCATTTCCTGGGAGATTATTTCGTATTTCATTCGCTTTAGCGTCCACCTCATCCTCTGTTGCATTCCTTATTTCTACATTCGTCCCAATAGAGTTTGAGTGATGGGTCATAGTATTTTGTCTTATAGCTAATTTTATCTTATCTATTTCTGCCTTTGAGAGTCTGTTGTTTCGCATGATGTCCCTACGGACATTGGCAAGCATGTTTGGATTGAGGTTAGGTCTTATATCATTTCCCACCGTACTTCTCCATATTTGGTATGTTTGATTGGTGGTGTTCTTTGCTGGGTTTTCGAGTGCAGTGAAGAAGGATGTCATGACTTGTCGATACTCTTCGCGGCTCCGTTTCGTTCATTTACTTTTTACTAGTCGATTTGGTATTGAGTCACTTGGTCCAAGGTTGGCAATAATCCGGGTTTGGTGACCTAGTGTCTTTTCGTGTGTGGAAGAGTTTGTTCCAGTGACAGACTTTTCGTCCTCAGACTGGTTCCTCTCTGAGGGACGCGGCCCTTGTTGTTCCGGTTGACGGCCGATCCGGTATGAAATATTATTCGTATTCATTGAAATTGGTAGAGATGCGTTTTAACCTTGACCGCCAAGGGGTAATTATGTTCAGGTTACCACTTTTAGGACGATTCTCGAAGAAGATCCAAGATCACGCCCAAACAATGAGATTGTGGATTTATTAATATATCGAAGTTAGAATAGTTCATAATAGTGTATGGTATTCAGTGGGGTAGACGATATTAAGTTTTAACTTAGTATAAGTCGGAATGACCACTCCAAGGGGGATAATTAGATTTAGGTATATAGACTTCAGTCAACTCCTACCCTCTCAATTCACCTTCCTTTTCTCTCCCTTTTTTTTGAGTCAAAAGGATATAGAATCATATCAAACTACAGGAAAAGTATCATTCAAAGATGCTACATTTACCATTTCTTACAAGTTCGGAGCATGGCCAAAGTGACTTTCTACAAATGTTCAAGTCTCCGTCGCCAACGACAGATACTTATCAAATTTTATGGGGTAGGCTGGACTTATACTACAGATTGGTAGGGGGGGGATATCAAAGAATTCATTCAACAAAGGGGTAGAAGCAAAGCAGTAAAAGTTATACATTTCCGGTCATCTCTCAACCTAGTAGCCGCTAAAAGATATATTTTTTAATTTTCACTCAAAGACATGATAGTCAAAGGGCAGAGCATTGTAGGAAAATCACACCTGTAGCCATGAAAAAAAAGTAAATAAAAAAAAAAATTATAATACAATTTGATCCCTGTCAATGCGGATACATACACATGTATATTATATATATATATATATATATATATAT